TCATGAGGGTGCAAATATCGCGAAGTATTGCCCAAGCGCAGAATATAGTACCACAGAAAGTTAGATTTTCGTGGAAGTTGTGTAGGGTATCATATGGTCGGCCCCGTCCGACTATACTGCTCCGCTCACTTGTTTAACTTTCCTTACTGGTTTTAAACTAAATTTTTTCATGAATACAATTTTTTTTTACAAATATTTATATTTTAGGCGAGGAATAATTTATTATACACTCCTCACTAAATGCTTCATTGTATACAAATCGCAAAATCGCAAAACTTAAATATTTTTTCGCAATGCGTTCCAAAAATTTGCCAACATTAAGAGTCAAGGTCAAGATTTTCGTTATTTTTTTATCGAAAATGATGTGCAAAAAAATATTTTCAAAATATTTGTGAAAACTACTTGCAAATATTTTTTCAGTTGTTTATTCTTTCCGAAGTATCATCGCCGAATGCAGTATCTATTCATTGACCACTAATGGCTAGCAGTGATCAGCTGAATGTTTATCATACGACTCAGGAGAGAATATTCCCCCACTGGACTACCACCCACCCACGCACTTTGTACGTTTTTTTTTTGGTTGGCATTGTTTCGTTTCTATCTCAAACAGGTGGAAACAATACCAAAAAAATAATATTTTGTGTTATTTTAAAAATAGGAATGCTTCGTCATAGTTTTGTTTCTCGTTACGCCTGATGTCGTCCGTGTGTTTTCATTCGAAATTTATTTTTGTCCCCCACAAAAAAAAACAAAGCAAACTAGAAAAAAGTGAAAACAAAAACGGACAACGTCAATAGTCGAAAGAAGAAAATAAAAAAAACATTCCAGAATTTCCAAAAAACAAATGACATTTTTATAGCCTAGACAGACGACAGCCTTAATTTGCATTAACAGCCTTAATTCAAATTAACTTGTAGATTATCCTCATTTTTATGTGTTGTTAATGCACAAAATCAAACTGAATTAGGCAATTTCAATATGGCAATGCTGTCGAAAATTAATTGTTTCTTGTCAAATTTATTTATATTTATGAAAATAAAAATAAGAAATGAAGGCAAATTTCAACGATTTTTTAAATTTGGAGCTGTTTTGCTAAGATCGTAGTTGCTATTCCTCCTTTATGTCATGCATCTATTTCCTAAAGATGTAATCCTGAACAATATCGAAACAGATGTAAAAAAAGTTCATCATACACACAGACAAACAATTGTTTTGAAGCAAAAAACTGTTCCGTAAATGCAGAAACTCTCGTCTGTCAGGGGTAAATATTAATTCAAATTAAGAAATTTTTAATGCAAATTAAGGCTGTCGTCTGTCTATGGTATTTAGATATCTTCATATCTATCTCCCATTCCGAACTAAGCGTTCATGTGAAAAATAACATCAATTTGAAAAATTTATACAATTTTAACACGTCGTCGTTGTCGATGAAGACATTGTATTCTCAGCATCTGAAGGACCAGCAGGTTTAACATTCATCTTGTCATATTTTCAAATCGAATTTCTTTACATTTTGAAAACAAACAAACAAAAAAAACAGACCCGGAAAGGAAATTGATAATACTTTTCTTTTCTTTACTAACGAAGAGGAAATTTAAACATTTGTCAATGGCAGCCACACACACCGACACATTGTCCTCGAAAGGAGATAACCAAAAACGTGTTGTTGTTTATTTAGGATTTCTTTTTTTATTTATTTTTGTCATATTGTAATATTGATGGGAAATGGACATATACACACTTGAGTGCATCTGAATGGAATTTTGTGATAAATAAGATTTTATATTCAAAGGAAATAAAGTATAACTTTTAAAATACTGTCTTTGTAAAATATTAAAAAAAATCATAGTCCCTTGAGCAAATATTTTGAAAAATATTCTAAAAAATTCACGCCTTTGATAGACCCTTGAAAAATATTTTTTTAAAAACCCACGCTTTTGACATACCCTTGAAAAAATATGTTTAATAGTCGGACGGGGCCGACCATATGATACCCTTTACACAACTTCCACGAAAATCGAACTTTCAGCGGTCCTGGGCAATATCTCGCGATATTTGAACTCTCTTGACCGATTAGAAGTCAAAAAATATTACTAAAATTCAGTACATTACTTCTAATTACTTCTCCATATTCCCTTCATCGTGGGTTGTGTTGTGATGTTCGGCTTTCAATTGTGGCCTATAGACCGACTCGAAAAAACACCAAAAATTAAGTTTTCGGTCCACTTCATCCCAATATTATTATCTGATCATCTCCGAAAATTATCGGCATTGTCCTTGACCATAACTGGATCCTCATGGAAATTTTCAAAGCGATCTGAGTACATACGACCATATAATTGGTACCAATTTAAAGGTCAACCACGCCTCTTGGATATACTATCAACATCTTGGGTCTATGTCCTTCAGGAGTAAATATATGCGCCATAAAATAAATTATTTGCCATTTTTCACGCAAAAGTCAGAGTCCATTTGACCAAAACAGGCATGCTTATTCTTTGGCCCGATCCCCTTCTCCATGTAAAAAATCGCGGTGTTTGGGCCATAATTGCGGCCTCTGGAGCGACCAGAAAAACCGACAAAAATAAAGTTTTTGGTCCATTTCATCCCCTGAATATTAACCGATATTATCCAAAAACAATAGGGGTCTTCATTGGCCAGAACCCATCCTACATGCAAAATTTCGTGAATATTGGTCTATAACTGTGGCCCGTATCGTGTTTACAAATTATAATAGATAGACGGACACACATGTCTAGATCGACTCAGCTAGTTGATATATCGGTATTCTTAAAGATGGGTCTAGGACGAATATTTCGCGGCGTTACAAACTCTTGGGGCTGCACAAAGCTATAATACCCTGACAACATAGTTGTGTAGGGTATAAAATATGGCGGCCGTTGGTGGATCCGTAAAAAACTATTTAGAATCCATGCCTTAATTAGGCGATTCATAAGACCCTTGAAAAATATTTAAAAAAAAAGTTTTTAAAATCCACGCCTTTCGTATGCAGTTGAAAAATAGCTAGGACGGTGCTTAAAAATGTTTTTAAAAATCCACGCCTTTTATAGGCCGTTGAAAAATATATTGGTAGGCCTTTGAAAAATGTTTTTAAAAATTCACGACTTTGAAAAAATAAGTTTAAAAAAATCCATCCTACACTTAAAAAATTCCACTCCTATTATAGGAGTCTTGCAAACATATTTGTTTCTAAAATCCACGACTTTTAGTTAGTCTTTGAAAGCATATTCCAAAAAATCGATTTTGTTTGAATTTGTTTATTTTTTCGCTAATAGAAGTTACGTGTGGAAAACGCCCCAAAAACAAAGTATTGCACAATATTTTGTTTTAATGTTTATATTAAAAATACAATAAACATTTTTCCATCAACATGCATACCTACCTATATATGTATGTACATATATTTATATATCTTTTTTTAATTTTCTCCTTAACCTTGATTTTGAATTTGTTTATTCTATTCATTGTCATTAAATAAATAAATAAATGAATAAAATTCCACATCATCTTCTATTTTGTATTCTAAATCTTTTTAATTGACAGTTTTTTATCCGCAACATGAAAACAAAATCGTCCAATAAATTATATTAATATATTATTAATAAATTATAATTATGGCAAATTGTAGGCAGATAATGCATTTTTTTAAATATTTCCATGTTTTTAATTCGATCGCTTATTAAAGGTCATTTTTTGTACACCATTGAAAAAATATTTTAAAATGTTCAAGAGGCGTGTAGGTCCCCGACAAAAATATTTTTAAAAAATCCACGCCTCGTGAAGGTCTCTGAAAAAAATATTTTAAACTAATCCGCACCTCTTGTAGATCCTGTCGGTGGTACCTGAATATTTTATTTAAAAATCTACGAATATTTCTAGCCCTTACTTTTTATTAATTTCAGTATGTTTTGTCAATCGGCCTAGGAATGGGCCTTTAGTGCACCATTTACTTAAAATCGGGCGCAAGTATATATAAAAGCTATTTATAAATGTGAACCAATTTCAAGAAAACTTGACACAAATGATTATAGTATCTGCAGTACATTGTACAAAAAATCGGTCAAAAATATATATTGAAGCTATATTTAAATCTGAACCGATTTTCACGAAATTTAGCCAACATCAATCTGCACCTAATTCAGTTCTTTATGCCAAATTTCGTGCAAATCGAATTATATATAGGGACTTTGGTGCACTATTTACCTAAAATTGGACGAAACTATATATGTGAGCTATATCTAAATCTGAACCCATTTTCTGGAAACTTGGCACACATCATTCTGGACCTAATTCAGTACTCTATGCCAAATTTTGTGCAAATTGAAATATATATAGGGACTTTGGTGCACCATTTACCTAAAATGGGACGAAAATATATAGGGAGCTATATCTAAATCTGACCCGATTTTCTTGAATTTCAAGACCAAATAAGTGACTTGTGCCAAATTTCATCCAAATCGGATCATAAATGCGACCTGTACTTTGTTTACAGTTTAACATCTACAGACGGACGGACTGACGAACTTGCATAAATCGACTCAGAAAGTGATTCTATGCATATTCTCAAAAGGAACCATGTGTCTATCTCGTTTCCTTTTGCCTGTTACAAACATATGGACAAAGACATAATACCCTGTACCACAGTGTGGTGAAGGGTATAAAAATCCACCCCTATCAGTATTCCTAGAAAATATATTTAAAAAAATCCTTGCCTATTGTAACCTGTGAAAAAACTATATTTTCAAAATGTATGTCTGTCGGTAGTCCTGGATTTTTTTTAATACACTTCTTTAGAAATTCTTTGAATTATCTTGAATTTTATTTTCAAAAAACAAGTTCTTAAATTCAAAACAATCCTTTTAAGTATTAAAAATTTAATCTATTTTTATGAAGAAGTTTGTTTTATTAAAATTTCATAAAAATATACAAATTATGATTTCATTTTTATAAAAAAATAAAATTGATTTTCTGTATTTTTTTTACAAATTAATTTTCTCAATATTCAGCGTCTTTAAAATAAAAACAAACATATCCGTATTTTCTTCAATAATTTTCGATGTTGGTGTCCCTTCACCGTGACCCGCATTGCTATAGACCCTCAGCATTATTGGTTTCTTTTGATATTCTGAATTACGCACAGCATCCTGCAGAGCAGCAACGAATTTCAGCGAATGCAATGGACTAACACGATCATCATGATCGGCTGTTGTTACCAAAGTGGCAGGATATTCTTCATTCTCCGTTGTAGGGATATGCACATTATGTAGCGGTGAATATTTCAGGATATTATCAAAATGTTCCTTCTTATCGGGATTACCAAATTCCGAACACCAAGCGAAGCCAATTGTAAATTTGTGAAAACGTAACATATCCATAACACCGACTCGAGCTATAGCCGCACCAAAGAGATCAGGTCGCTGATTGATACATGCACCAATCAATAGGCCACCATTCGAACCTCCCTGGATTGCCAGACGGTCCTTGGTGGTATAATTATTGGTCACGAGATATTCGGCGGCAGCCTGGAAATCATTGAAGACATTTTGTTTGTTCAACAAGTTGCCAGCTCTGTGCCATTTTTCTCCATATTCATTACCACCACGCAGACTGGGCACGGCAACGACCCCATCAAAGGTATCAATGAAAGTTAAATACCTAACTGAAAAGTTAGGTTTCACAATTACCTGAAAACCTCCATAACCCGTAAGAAGACAAGGTCTGGGTGATCTCTTCTCTTCCTTGGTGATTTTGCCAATCACAAACATCGGTACTTTGGTCTTGTCCTTACTTTCATAGAACACCTGTTCCACTTGATAGTCGTTTGGCGAGAACCCCTCCATGTTGAGTTGAATATTTCTCCACACCTTGGGCGTAGATGTTTTCCAGCGGAAATCGTAATGATAAATAATGCCCGGTGTTAGAAACGAGGAAAACTTATAAAATATTTCCGATTCGGATTTATCACACCAAAAGTCGGAAATGTTACCAATATCCAAATCGAAAATGAATAGTAATTCTCCCGACTCCAGGGAATTGACCTGCAGTAGACTCTTCACATCGTGCATATAGTTGAGCACCAACTTGTCGTTGTCCACACAATCTACCCAATTCAAAACATCTCTGGCATGTTCGGGTATAAGGGTCTGCCAATTTTCTTCAGCTGGATTTTCAAGATCAATAATTATCACACGATAATTCGAGGCCCCATTATTTGTGTTAAAATACATTTTCGATCCCTTGTTGGTGATGTAGGTAAAGATATCATCAAATTTGTCAATAAGTTTTTTGATTTTTAATTTTCCCGTAATTTCCGCCTGAGGTTCCCAATCCGCATAGTAAACCAAATTACCATCAAAACCCCGATCGATAAATAGCAGCAGATATTTACCACAATCGGAAATTCTCGTTTGTATTTGCCATTTAGGTTCTTCGGGTAATTCGAAGACTAGAACATCCCTAACCTGCGACTGACCCAAGCGATGATAATATACTTTCTGATTGTTAGTTGATTCCGTTTGGGAGCCATCAAGCTTACCCTCTGCCTGGGGAAAGCAGCCATAAAAGAATCCTTTATTATCCTTCGTCCAAGTGATGCCAGAAAATTTCACTTTTTCCAAGACTTCATCGAAATCTCTGCCCGTTTCCACATTTCGTATGTGGATGGTAAACCAATCGGAACCATTAACGCTTAAACCATAGGCCATATATTTGCCATCTTCGGAAAAGACCTTGTGGGTTAAAGAAATGGTGCCATCACTGGACAAGGCATTGGGATCGAAAAATACTCGCGGTTCTCCATCCAAACTATCCAATTGATAGATAACATCTTGATTTTGTAGCCCTGAATTTTGTTCAAAATAATAATATTTGCCATGCTTGGCGGGACAATCACACCGCTCGTAGTTATACAGCTTTGTCATTTTCTCCATCAATTTCTTATGGGCTTCACAGCCCTGCAGGTAGGGTTGGCTAATATTATTCTGTTCTTCGATGAATTTTTTGGTTTCTTCCGAATCGGGATCTTCAAGCCAACGATAGACATCCTTCACCTCAACACCGTGGAGGGTTTCCACAACACTTTCATCCTTGCGGGCCGAGGGATATTGAGGACTGGATAGATCACTTTCACACCCCATTAAATCATCACTGCTACTCGAAGTCATTGTTGAGGACATTTCGAATTTTGTATCTTTCTGTTTTGAATTCTAATTTCGACTGAAGTTTATTGCAAAACTGCATGTGAGTTTATATTCCCTGGTAAATATGTTATCACGGTGCGATTTGTAAGTGTGTAATATCGTCCATGGGAATGTAATTTTTGCGGTGGGTCAGTAATTAGCAATTAGATTACAACTACTGGGAATGTGGTCGTGTTGAAGATCGCTATCGTAGTAAAGGGTAAATTAAGGTCTTCTTTTCAATAAAAAAAACAGAAAAAAAATCCAGGCGTGGATTTTTAAAAATTAATTTTTGGAGGCATAAACCAAGGTGAAGATTTTTAAAAATTAATTTTTGAAGAAAACCTACCATGTAATTACCAAAGACTATTCTTAGGCGTGAATTTGTTTTTAAATAAACATTTGTAGGCCTACCCAGGGGTGGATTATTTAAAATTTTCAAAGCCTATCCCTAGGCGTGAATATTTTAAAAATTAAATCTTCAAAGACTTCGATGACGAAATTGAAACCACCAATTATATTTATGTTTCTGCGATTTATCAAACTTTTTATTGTTAAAAATGCATCTACAAAAATTGGAATATAAAATAAGGAAGACGAAAAGGCAAGATATAACGACATAGATTTTATTATAACTTTTGATTCTTTTCATTATCCAAAAATTCAATCTAAGGTTCCACATTGACAACCACTCACAAATTGACCTTATCAATATTGAGACTTCTCAACATAAATGTCAATATATCGGAAACTTCTTCGATAATTTTCGATGTTGGTTTACCAGCACCATGTCCTGCATTGCTATAGACCCTCAAAAATATGGGATTCTTTTGATATTTCGAATGGCGAACAGCCTCCTGCAGGGCGGCAACAAATTTCAGCGAATGCAATGGGCTGACACGATCATCATGATCGGCAGTAAGTACCAAGGTAGCAGGATATTCTTCCTTCTCCGTTGTGGGAGTGTGGACATTATGCAGCGGTGAATATTTCAGGACATTTTCAAAATGTTCCTTCTCATCGGGATTACCATAATCCGAACACCAATAATGTCCTATGGTGAATTTATGGAAACGTAACATATCCATGACACCCACCTCAGCTACGGCAGCACCAAAGAGGTCAGGACGTTGATTGATACAGGCAGCAACTAGAAGACCACCATTGGAACCACCCTGAATTACCAACCTATCTTTGGTGGTATAATTGTTGGCGATGAGATATTCGGCGGCAGCCTGGAAATCATCGAACACATTTTGTTTGTTCAGTAGACGGCCTGCGTTGTGCCATTTTTCACCATATTCACCACCACCACGTAAATTGGGATAGGCCACAACACCATCAAAGGTATCCAAGAACATAACATCCATAACCCCAAATGAGGGATACATGCTGCAATTGAAACCTCCATAGCCGTACAGGAAACAGGGACGTGGTGTTCTCTTCTCTCCGGCCTGGGTATTTTGATAGACAATAAACATGGGAATCTTCGTCTTGTCCTTGCTTTCATAGAACACCTGTTCCACTTTGTACTTGGCTGGGGTAAACCCTTCCAAATTCAATTTAATTTCCCGCAACACCTTCGGTGTGAAATTGTCCCACTTGAAATCGTAATGATAAATTATGCCCGGAGTCAGGAACGAAGAAAACCTATAGAAGAATTCCGTTTGATGTTTCTTCGCTTTGATTTCCACCACACTACCCATTTCCAAATCGAATTTGTGTAGCATTTCCCCACTTTCCAGGGAATTCACTTGCAGAACACTTTTGGCATCGTGAAGATAGTGAAGGACCAGCATATTTTCATTTACACAATGTACCGCATCTAAAACATCGGTGGGATGTTCCACGATGATGGTTTGCCAATTCTCCAGGGCCGGATTTTCAAAATCAATCATAACGACACGATAATTGGAGGCATCTTTATTCGTGCGGAAATACATTTTCGAACCGATATTGGTAATGTATTCATAATCGGATTCGAATTTTTCCACGATTTTCTTGGCCTCAAATTTTGTGTTGATCTCCTTGCCAGGTTCCAAATCGGCATAGTACACGATGTTGTCCCGGCAATCCTTGGTGATTAACATTATCAGGTATTTACCACAATCTGAGACCACGGTTTGAAATTGCCAGGTCGGCTCCTCGGGGAATTCAGCAATGAGCACATCCTTCTCTTGCGGCTGACCCAAATGGTGATAATATAGTTTTTGATTTTCATTTGATTGGGTCTCCGAACCATCAGTCACTCCCTCTTGATGGGGAAATGAACAATAAAAGAATCCCTTGCTATCTTTGGTCCATGAAATTTCCGAGAACTTTACTTTTTCCAATACCTCTTCGAGATCCTTGCCCGTCTCCACATCACGTATGTGGATTTTAAACCAATCCGAACCATTGGCACTCAGGCCATAGCCCATGTACCGGCCATCTTCTGAAAAGGATTTCTTTACCAAAGCAATGGTACCATCACTGGACAAGGCATTGGGATCGAAAAATAATTCCGGTTCCGCTGTCAAACTCTCCTGGCGATACAAAACATGTTGATTCTGCAGACCCGTATTCCTTTGGAAATAATAATATTTGCCATGCTTGAGGGGACAATCATAGGTCTCATAGTTCCATACTTTGGTGAACTTCTCATTGATTTTCTTCCACTGGTCACAGCCCTCCAGGAAGGGTTGACTTATTTTATTTTGTTCCTCGACATATTTTTTTGTCTCCTCCGAATCGGGATCCTCCAACCAACGATAGACATCTTTTATTTCAACCCCGTGGTGAGTTTCGACCACACTTTCATCTCGACGGGCCACGGGATATTTGAGGGGAGAGATTTTGGTTTCAGAATCGAGCAATTTGGTTGGGGTATCAGCAGTCATGGTGACAGAATAAAGGCTATAATGATGAGTAGAATGAAGAATTGATTAGAATTTTGAATTTAGATTTTTTCGTTAGGAAGGAATTTTAAAGAAATTTGTTAAAAAAGTATTTAAAAGAAAGCAATTATGCTTCGAGGAATGTCCACAGGCGTAGAATTTTTCAAAATAATTTCCAGAGCCTATCCATAGGGGTAAAGATTATAATCCTTGGATTTTTTACAAATAATTTTTTAAATCCTATCCCAAGGACTGTTTAAAATTATTTTTTCTAGTCTTTGGATTTTTAAAATAAAATTTTCAAGTCTTATCCCCAGTTTTGGATTTCAAAAAAATATTTTTTAAATACCAAAGGCGTGGCTTTTTGAAACTTATTTTTTCAAAACCTATTTTTTATAGGGATTCAAGATCTATTAATAGGGATTTTTCAAACTTAATTTTTAAGACCTATTTATAGGCATGGATTTTTTGTCAAGCTTTCATCAAAGGCCTGAATTGATTTACATTAAATAATAGATTTTACAAATTATTACATTTTGTTTTATTATTAATTTTAAAATATATATAGAACAAGAAGAAGAATACAATATATGAATAAGAAGAAGCAAAGCAAATTTACAAATGTAAGTTATGAATTTTTTAAATGAATGTTTTTTTTTTGTTTTCTTTTGATAACATCGCGTCTTTCCATTTTCCGGCAATCTACCCTCCGCCTTTACAAATTAACCTTATCGATGTTAAGACTTCTCAACATGAAGGTCAACACATCCGTGGCTTCTTCGATACGTTTCGAAGTCGGTTTACCAGCTCCATGGCCAGCCTTGCTATAGACCCTCAACAATATGGGATTCTTTTGATATTCCGAATGGCGAACAGCCTCCTGGAGGGCAGCAACAAATTTCAGCGAATGCAAGGGGCTAACACGATCATCATGATCGGCAGTTAGAATCAATGTTGAGGGATATTCCTCCTTCTCCGATTTGGGAGTGTGGACATTATGCAGCGGTGAATACTTCAGGAGATTTTCAAAATGTTCCTTTTCATCGGGATTACCATAGTCGGAACACCAAGCATGACCAATGGTGAATTTATGGAAACGTAACATATCCATGACACCCACCTGGGCCACAGCAGCACCAAAGAGATCAGGACGTTGATTGATACACGCCCCCACCAAAAGGCCACCATTGGAACCACCCTGAATTACGAGACGATCTTTGGTGGTATAATTATTGGCCATGAGATATTCGGCGGCAGCCTGGAAATCATTGAAAACATTTTGTTTGTTCAGCAGGCGTCCAGCGTTGTGCCATTTTTCACCATATTCACCGCCACCACGTAAATTGGGGTAGGCAATGACCCCATCGAAGGTGTCAATGAACATGAGACCCGTAATACCAAACGAAGGCTGCATGCTGATGTTGAAACCTCCATAACCATAGAGGAAGCAGGGACGTGGTGTTCTCTTCTCCGCCCCTGAATTTTTGTACACAATAAACATGGGTATCTTTGTTTTGTCCTTGCTTTCATAGAACACCTGTTCCACCTTGTAGTTGGCTGGGGAAAAGCCCTCCAAATTCAATTTGATTTCTCTCAAAACTTTCGGGGTAAAATTATCCCACTTGAAATCATAATGATAAATGGTTCCCGGTGTCAGGAAAGAGGAAAAGTTATAAAACAACTCCGATTCCTTCTTTTTACCCGACAAGGCCACAATGGTACCAATGTCCAATTCAAATTTATGGATCAATTCTCCAGTTTGCAGGCTATTCACCTGCAGCGCGCTCTTGACATCTTGTATATAACCCAATACCAATTTATCCTCGTTGACACAATGGACCCAATCCAAAACATCGGTGGGATGTTCCGCGATGAGGGTTTGCCAATTCTCTTGGGCTGGATTTTCAAAATCAATCATAATGACACGATAATTGGAGGCATCCTTATTCGTGCGGAAATACATTTTCGATCCGGTATTGGTAATGTAATCATAATCCGATTCGAATTTTTCCACAATTTTTTTAACCTCCAATTTTTTATTGAGCTCTGCCCCGGGTTCCAAATCGGCATAGTAGACAATGTTGTCACGACAATCCTTGACAATGGCCATAATCAAATATTTGCCACAATCGGAGACCACCGATTGAATACGCCAGGTGGGTTCCTCGGGGAATTCGGTAATGAGGACATCCTTCTCCTGCGGCTGACCCACATAGTGGTAATATAATTTTTGATTTTCATTGGATTTTGTCTCAGAGCCATCAGTTTTACCCTCTTGATCGGGATAGCGGCCATAGAAGAAACCCTTGTTATCTTTGGTCCATGAAATTTCCGAAAATTTCACTTTTTCCAATACTTCCTCGAGATCTTTACCCGTCTCTACATCACGTATGTAAATCTTTATCCAATCCGAGCCACTAGCACTCAGGCCATAGGCCATGTAACGGCCATCTTCGGAAAATGATTTTTGGGCCAGGGCAATGGTACCATCACTGGACAAGGCATTGGGATCGAAAAACAAGCGTGGCTCCCCATCCAAGCTATCCTGTTGATACATCACACTCTGATTCTGCAGACCCGAATTCTTATAGAAATAATAATATTTGCCATGTTTCATGGGACAACCGTATTTTTCATAGTTCCACAACTTGGTCAACTTCTCGTTGATTTTCTTCCACGACTCACAGCCCTCCAGGAAGGGTTGACTTATTTTGTTTTGTTCCTCCACGTATTTTTGTGTCTCCTCCGAATCGGGATCCTCTAGCCAACGATAGACATCTTTAACCTCAACCCCATGGTGAGTTTCGACCACACTTTCATCCCGACGGGCCAGGGGATATTTGAGGGGAGAGATCTTCGTTTCAGAACCTATCAAATTGGCAGTGGTATCGGCAGTCATTGTGGCGGCGGCGTTTGAGCTGGCTTTAAGACTTGCAGAAAAATGCCGTCTAAGGAGTGTTGATAAGTTCTGTTGAATAACCCGCAGACCGTTTATTTGCATTCAAAAAATGTTTGGCGAAAAATGCTATGGAAGATTTGTGGAAATTCTGTGGGAAAGATTTCTTGTTGCCTCCGCAGAAATCTGTGGGAGAAAACACAAGAAGAAGAAATACATATTTTTTTGTTTATAAAGACTTTCTGAAGTAATATTTGGAATTGGACTTAAGGTGGGGGCAATTCTTAATATTTTATGAAAAAATCGAACAAATTCAAGAAAAAAGAAACTTTTGTAATGATTTGCATCATTTCAAACATCTGTGGATTATACTAATATTTCATAATTCTGAATTTTAAATTTTGAAAAAAAAAATTCAAAAATATTTCCTTTGAAATCCATTGGCATGCACTTTTTACAGTTCTCAATCGCTAGGATAATTGATTACAAATTAAATGTTTATGAATTATTGAAAAACCAAAAAATTTCGACTTTTCATAATTCAATATGTGCGATAGGAGGTGGGGAAAACCCCCCAAAATAGAAGAATGATGCCGCCAATAAGTCCAATTACTGTTTATTCTTAATGTAATTAGGGGGCAAACAACCACAAGAACAACAACACAAATCAATAAATATAGATTTTCAATCATGCTTTGATAATAACCAATACACCAAATAGCTAAGGGAAATTCACACTCACACAAACACACACACTTTGTACAGAACAAAAATAGAAAAAAAAATTATGAAAATATTTCACACATCGAACGGAATGGTTGGTCGGCTGGTTGATGGTGGTGGTGGTAGCTGGCTCGGCTCTTCGTTATAAATTTAAATCGATGACTGATCCAACACATATTTCAAAGAGTGCAATTTTGGAAAATCTTCTTAGTAATAAACACAAGTGGTAAAACGTCTCGAAATATTTCGTAATTTTTCCCGAAAAAAAATATGAAATGAAAAGTGCTATAGAAAACTGCACTCAATTTTTCTTGGGGATTACAAAGCCACAAAATATTTTTTTGGTAAACAAAAGATTTTATTAAACAAAAAAAAAAAAAAACGGAATGACATTAAATTATTAAATGAAAATAAAAAAAATGTGGGAAGCGTGGGATGGAAAACTACACAGAGATGTTGCTTTGGATGAGGTTCGCTAATTTTTTAAAATATTTTCTAATGAGCTGTTAGACAAAAAATTGTGGCATTTTGAAAAATATTTTTTTTTTAAATTCCTCGTAGGTATGGAGTTCTTAATTTTTCCGAGGAACTTCTTAAAAATATTTTTTCAATGCCTATTATAAACATGGAATTTTGTTAAATATAATTTGTGCATATTTTTTAAGGCACAGCTTAAAAGGTTGATTTTAATATAATACTCATAGGGACAAAGGATTTTTTTAATATTTTTTCAAGGCTTATGATAAACATGGAGTTTTTAAATATATTTAAAAATATTTTTTAACAATGGTTATACGATGAGTGGATTTTTTAGGGAATACTTTTTCAAGGGTTAACTCCCAAAGATTTTTTAAAGAATAATTTTTTAAGAAATATTTTTCTAAGGACTACCATCAGGCGAGGATTTTTTTAAAAATATTTTTCTAAGAACTACCACCAGTCGTGGCTTTTTATACCCTTCACCACACTGTGGTACAGGGTATTATGTCTTTGTGCATATGTTTGTAACAGGCAAAAGGAAACGAGATAGACCCATGGTTCCTTTTGAGAATATGCATAGAATCACTTTCTGAGTCGATTTACGCCATCCGTATCCGTCCATGTATTTTTGTTAACAAAGTACAGGTCGCATTTTTGATTCGAATTGGATGAAGTTTGGCACAGCTCCTTTATTCGGCCCAAGGACGAACCCTATTGAAATTGGGAAAAATCGGCTCAGATATATATATATATATATATTCCGATTTGCACGAAATTTGGCATGGCGTAATGAATTAGGTCTAGAATGATGTGTTTTAAGTTTCCTGAAAATCGGTCCAAATTTAGACATAGCTCCCATATATATTTTCGTCCGATTTAAGATAAATGGTGCACCAAAGTCCCTAAATATCTCTCGATTTGCACGAAATTTGGCACAGCGTAATGAATTTGGTCTAGAATGAAGTGTGTTAAGTTTTCTGAAAATCGGTTCAGTTTTAGATATAGCTCCCATATATATTTTCGTCCGATTTAAGGTAAATGGTGCACCAAAGTCCCTAAATATCTTTTGATTTACACGAAATTTGGCACAGCGTAATGAATTAGGTCTAGTAAGATGTGTATTGAGTTTCCTGAAAATCGGTTCAGATTTAGATATATCTCCCATATATTTTCGTCCAATTTAAGGTAAATGGTGTACCAAAGTCCCTTAATATATTTCGGTTTGCACGAAATTTGGCATAGCGTAATGAATTATGTCTCGAATGAAGTGTGTTAAGTTTCCTGAAAATCGGTTCAGATTTATATATAGCTCTCCTATATATTTTCGTCCGATTTAATGTAAATGGTGTACCAAAGTACCTATATATCTTTCGATATGCACTACATTTGGGATAACGTAATGAATTATGTCTAGAATGATGTGTGTTAAGTTTCCTGAAAATCGGTCAAAATTTAGATATAGCTCCCATATATATGTTCCTCCGATTTAATGTAAATGGTGTAACAAAGTCTCTATATATCTTTCGATTTGCATGAAATTTGGCATAACGTAATGAATTGGGTCTAGAATGATGTGTTTTAAGTTGCCTGAAAATCGGTCCAGATTTAGATATAGCTCCAATATATATTTTGTTCCGATTTTATGTAAATTGTGCACTAAAGAGCCAATGTTTGTGCGATTGCCATACAATTTTGTACAATTAACTGTAGATAATATAAGTTAATCTCTGGAAAGTCTCATTGAAATCGGTTCAGTGGAAAGTTATGCCGATTGACACAAAATTTTGCTCAACTTGCTGAAGTTAATATAACCTAGCGTGTGGAAAGTTTTGAAATCGGTTCAGATTTGGATAAAGCTCCTATATATATTTTCTCCCGATTTTTAGTACATGATCTCGAAATGTGGCCGATATGCACAAAACATTCTGAATATAGTATAACCTTTTTTTTACATGTAGGATGGGTTCTGGCCAATGAAGACCCCTAGTGTTTTTGCAAAGATCGGTTAATATTTAGGGGATGAAATGTACCAAATACTTATTTTTTATCCGGTTTTCTGGTCGCTCCAGAGGCCGCAATTATGGCCCGAACATCGCGTGTTTTTACATGGAGATTTTGATAAAGATTGGTCAATATTTAGCGGGTCAAATGGACCCCGACTTTTGTGTGAAAAATGACAAAATTTGTACTCTATAGCGTATATATTTAGCCCTGAAGGACATAGACCCGAGATGTTGATATTATATCCAAAATACCAATTATATTGTCGTATGTACTCGGATGTGGGAGTTACATTTAAATATTTTAATTACTAAATATAATCTGAATAGGTTAATACCTCACTGAAATATAGCTCTGATCGCTTTGAAATTTTCCATGAAGATCCATGTATGGTCAAGGACAAAGCCTATAATTTTCAGTGATGATCCGATAAAAATATTGGGATGAAGTGGGCCGAAAACTTATTTTTTGTGTTTTTTTTTTTCGTGTCGATCTATAGACCACAATTGAAAGCCGGACATCACAATACAACCCACGGTGAAGGGAAAGCGGACAAGTAATTAGAAGGGGTGCACTGAAATATTTTTGACCACTAGTCGTCAAAAGAATGCAAATATCGCGAAATATTGCCCAAGCTCAAAAAATAGGACCACAGAAATTTAGATTTTCGTGGACGTTGTGTCGGCTCATATGGTCGGCCCCGTCCGACTATACTGCTCCGCTCACTGATTTTGTAAATATTTTTAAATATTTTGTTAGGTCCTGATTTTCCTTATTTAGGTCCTAAAATGTTTTCCTTTATTTAGGTCTTGATATGGTTTAAATTTTTTTTAGCTTCAGATTTTTTCTTCAGTGTTTGGGTCTTGATCTTTTTTTAAGATTATTTTTCTTAGGTCCTAATATGTTTTTTTAATAATATTTCTTTATAAAGTGCTGATATTTTTTAAAAACAATCACATTCGTTGTATGAACATTCTTTAAAAAATCACACTTGTTCCAATGAAAACACTTAGAAAAATGCTCCGAAAAAATCCATGTTTATTGCTTCGCTACTGCTAAAAAAATATTCTTGAAAAAATAATCAAATTATTCCCTTCCATTTCCACAAAATTGTGGTAGTGGGGGCGTGCGTGTGCCAGCGTTTTTCTTTTGTTTTTGTAAAAAATAAAGTGTATTAGTTTAATTTTAAATTGAACACTCATCATTGACACAATGTGGAAAACACAACAAGTACAAAAAAATTAAAACAACAACAAAAAATCCTTAACTTGATCAAAAAAAAAAAAAAAAAATATGATGATGAAAAAAATGACGAGAGCATCAACATTCATAATGATAATTATTGTCAATAACATAATTATGGTTTATGTGTGTGTGTGTCTGTGTCTGTAGATGACGATGATTCCCAATAATGATCATCAGTGACGTGCCAAACATCATTATGATGATTTTGATTTTGAAAATAAATTTGACACCCACGCATTTTTGTGTGTGTCGATATTTTTGGTGGGGAATTCTCTTGAGCGGATTTTTCTACTGCTCACTGAAAATATTTTGGAAAATTCGTGAAAAATCACAAGTGAGAATGTGGAAAATTGTTTAGCTGAGAACAAAATGGATTTGAGTGAAATTTCGTTGGGTCCATCGTCATGGGCATTTATAAACTCAGACAACGGCGAGGATCAGCATCAGTCAACTTTGAATTGTCTTCTAGTGAGGAACAGTTAGCCAAAGTCAAAACTAATAACCAAACATGTCTCTTGAACGTGCCGTTAAAGCCAAGGTGAATAATTGTGAAAAAAGAAAAAAAAATTAAATTATATTTTTAGAAAATCAAAAAATGTGAAGAAGAAGCAACAATTTTAATCAAATTGAAAAATTTGTGTAGTGACCATATATGGTGTGCCCGGAGATCCATTACTAATGTGCAACCAAATTTATTTACCATTTACAGATTGCCGCCAAGCGCAATCCCCAGATGGACAAAGAAGCCCAAGAATGGATGGAAGCCATTTTGGGTGAGAAATTCCCCGCTGGCGTTGAATACGAAGATCACCTCAAGGACGGTCAAGTTTTGTGCAAACTGATCAACACCTTGTCCCCCAATGCCGTGCCCAAGATCAACAGCTCCGGTGGCCAATTCAAGATGATGGAAAACATCAACAACTTCCAAAAGGCCTTGAAGGCTTACGGTGTACCCGATTTGGATGTCTTCCAAACTGTTGACTTGTGGGAAAAGAAGGATATTGCTCAAGTGACCAATACCATCTTTGCCTTGGGCCGTGCTGTAAGTATTTGAAACTCCTACACATTTGGGATTTCGATTATTAATCTATAATTTCCCTCCCTCCTCAACAGTGCTACAAACACCCTGAATTCTCTGGACCCTACTTGGGACCCAAGCCCGCCGATGAATGCAAGCGTGAATTCTCTGAAGAACAATTGAAGGCTGGCCAAACCATCATTGGCTTGCAAGCCGGTCAAAACAAGGGTGCCACCCAATCTGGCCAAAACATCGGTGCCAGCCGCAAGATCTTGTTGAACAAGTAAATTCCAAGTCCAAACAATTTACAAAGTCATTTTTAAGTTAAGTTTTTTTATTTGTGAAAATTCCTTGCAATCAAACAAACAACAAACACTTAAACAAATACACACACACAAACATACACATACATCCACCCACCAAACCAACACATACATAAATGTTTGAGAGAATGTAGTGGAAACAAAATCGTTTTGTATTTTATATAAAGTAAACATAAGTTTATGTTTAAGTTATTTTATATAAAAAAAGCCAAGCCAAAAAAAAAATTGTAAAATTAGTTAAATTATAAAAAATATAAAAATAATAAAAAAGAAACGCGTTTCAAAAAAATGAACTGATAAAACCTAACCAAAAAAACAAAACCCCTAGATGTGTTATTATTTCAGAAGGTATTAGGTATTGAATAACTATTTTTAAATAAATATTTTTTAAAATATCACAAATATTTCATAAATATAAAAATAATTTTAAAAAATATTTTTTTAAAGATTATAAAAGATTTTAAAAGTATATTTTTTCATTTAAATTTCTTTATTAAACTTTAAAATTTAATAACTTTTTTTTAAATATAAAAATAAATTTATAAAATTAAAAAAAAAAAAATCTTAAAGATAAACGCCTAATGTTAGGCCATGGAAAATTTAATTTAAAAAATCCATCCCTAATATTAGGCAATGAAAAAAATTATTTTTAAAAATCCACGCCTAATATTAGGCCATGGAAAATTTAATTTAAAAAATCCATCCCTAATATTAGGCAGTGAAAAAAATTATTTTTAAAAATCCACGCCTAATATTAGGCTATGGAAAAATTAATTAAAAAATCCATGCCAAATATTAGGCCATATTAATTAATTGATAGGCCTTGGATAAATGAATTTTAAAAATCCACGTCTCCTAATATTAGGCTAGTAAGGAAAGCAGTAAAGTCGGACTGGGCCGACTATATAATACCCTTCACCACTTTGAGTACATTCTACATAGTCTCCAGAGTCGATTTTTCGAAAGAACATTGGCATGAAATTGAACGAAAGATATGTAAGAAGTTTGGTGCACCATTTACCTTAAATCGGATGAAAATATATATGGGAGCTATACCTAAATCTGAACCGATTTTCACGAAACTTACCACACATCGTTATAGACTCAATTCAGTACGCTATGGCAAATTTCGTGCATATCGAAAGATATATAGGGACTTTGGTGCAGTATTTATCTTAATCGGACGAAAATATACATGGAAGCTATATCAATAACACACATCATTCTAGACCTATTTCATTACGCTGTGCCAAATTTCGTGCAAATCGAAAGATATATAGGGACTTTGATACACCATTTACATTAAATCGGATGAAAATATATATGTGAGCTATATCTAAATCTGAGCCGATTTTTCTCAATTTCAATACGGTTCGTCCTTGGGCCAAATAAGTTACCTATGCCAAATTTCATCCAAATCGGATGATTAATGCGACTTTGTTGCGTACTTTGTTTACAATTTATCATCAACAGATGGACGGACAGACGAACGGACATGAATCGAATGAGAAAGTGATTCTATGCATATTTTCAAAAGGGCCCATGGGTCTATTTCGTTTCCGTTTGCCTGTTACAAACATATGCACAATGACATAATACCCTGTACAACAGTGTGGTGCAGGGTATAAAAATACACGCCTAATATAAGACCTTAATTTTTTTTAAATCCTCGCCTATTTGAAACCTTGAAAACAAAATTATTAGAAATACACTCCTGTTTTAGTTCTCAAAATAAATAAAACGTTTGTAGTAGTTCTCAAAAAGAAAAATAAATAAATAATTCCTGCCCTGTTATACTTCTCGAAAAAGACATTTTTTAAATCCACGCCTATACATCGTAGGAAAAAATACAAAGTCATTTTTAATGGATTGGATTTTTAAAATCCACCTTAAAAAATAGTTTTCGAAAAAAATATTAACAAATCCATTCAAAAATCCGTTCCTAATTTGCTTTATAAACATATTTTCAAAACTTCTTAATATTCCTGAATTTATTTTACACATCCCCCTAGTTATTTTCTTGTCCCAAATAACCTTACATCGACCTTCAAACAAAGTTTTCTTTTTCGAATTACACAAAATCGATTTGTAGGTCAGTGGGTGTATGGTACGTCAATGGACAATTTTCTCCGGCAAGACTAACGCGTCATAATAAATTAAAAATACACGAAGCATTCCAAAAACACCTCCATCTAAAATTAGGCTCTAAATGTGAAAGATGTGTTTTTATTGTCATAAATCTTGTTGTTTGTTAATATATAATTTAATAAATATTGTCAGTAGTGTATTAACACTGTTAACCCATGCTGAGTCAAAGGCAAATGATTAATAATAATTTTCTTTTTTAATTTTATTATTTAATTATTTATATATATTTATTATTTAATTATTCAAAATATATGTAGGTGGAAAGACGTTGAGGTATATATATTTTTTTTTTGTAATTCAATTATGACTATAGCATGGTTCTTATTTTTAATAACATTAAAAACTATACCTCCAACAAAAATTTTAATAAGTTTCAGCTGTGTGTGCATCTTTTATATATTATGAGATTTGTGTTGAAACCAATACGTGCTTCTCTGAATCACATACTTAAATTGTGTTTTGGAATTTGGCCTTACATGTAATGTTAACATTTTGGTGTAAATATTTTTTTTTGAAAATTGTTTGCAAATTTGCAACAAATTATAGATATCTTCATTTTGTTTATAATTAAAAACGTGCATGTTTATATTAAAGCAAAAAATGGTTATTACGTTCATTTTGGGAAATGGAAGGGGGATAGTTTCTGAATATTCATTCATTGACACGTCCATTGCATCAAGCATCACAGCACATTGTCTGTGGATGGATAACGACAAATTGAGAACTTATCTCAAATCAATTTTTTTCACCCTCACATTTTTATTTTCGCGGTGCTATCCAAAAAGACCCCTCGGCCTAATAATTTATTCACGATCTCATTGGCAATTCATATTATAGTAGACCGCTGAGGTGTTCCACGCGTCTGAGATTTTCAAAATTATTTTAGAAAGCCTCCCAGGACTTCCAGTTTGATTTAGAGATGTTCGAATATCTATGATATCCTCCATATTACATACGTTCCCATATTATTATAGACCGTTTTGTAATATATTAGAAGATCTTTGTGGTTTCTGATATTTTTTCCATATTTCAGAGATTTTGTTGTTACTATAAAATTTCTATATTTTTATTATAGAATATCTCTGGTCGATAAATATCATTTTAGATCTCTGAGACGTCTATGTTCAACGAAGTTTAACATGAATGACCTTTACAGTACTTTAGAAGTCCTCTGAGATTTTAAATTTTTTATAGGCTATCAGATGTCTTTCATACTATACTAGAACTCCTTTGATACCTTTGGGACCTTCTATATATTTTCGAAGTCCCCTAAAATCGTCGATATTATTCTAGAATACTTCTGAAATTTTCAAGAATTTTCAATATCAATTATTGATGTACTTTAAAATCTAGAAAACTGAAGTAATCGACCTCTCAGGTAGTCCATGGTATTCTAGAAGACATCTGAGACTCTTCCATGTTATTGTAGATGACTCCCGAGTTCTTCCTTTTCAGATCTATTATATAAAATGTCTCTGGCTCGTATCATATCATTTTTAGATCTATGAGATTATCAATATTTTATATTGAAAATTTTTAATTTTTATAGAATGATTTTGTAATTTTTCAAACTATTATATATATATATATATATATCTTCCATATTTGTATCTGATATCTTCCATATTTGTATACAAGAAGTCTTACATGTTATTATATATGACCACCTGAGATATGCCATGTTTTATAGAAGACTTCTCAGGACTTCCATACTATTCTAGAATCAACTTGTGGGGACTTCGATTTATGGAATTGATTATAATTTGCTTCTTAATATGCTACTACCACAGTCACTACACGTACTTGGGCTTAAAGGAAATTCGCCTGTACTATAGAAGTCTGCCCAATTATTAGAACACATCTGTAAGGTCTCCCTTGGTATTTAAGACGACATCGTCTAATTTTTTAATATCATCTTACATTTGTGTCGTCATCCAAAAATTCATAAAAATCGATTACAAAATTTTTTTCCGCCTCATTACTTTTCCAAAAACACTACACATTTGCTTAGAAGTTTCTGCAATTTATATCAGCAAGTGTTTTAGGGGTGGATTATCCTATTACCTAACTATCTAAGAAAACAATGATGGTAAAATGGGGGAGGAGGGCGATGTTAGTAAATTTAGTTACCCTCCCTTTGGACATTCAGAAGAATCCACATTTTACAAATGACAACATACATGTATAAAAATAATCATAAATTCCGATATTTAATGTTTCAAAGAAGTTTTAGTTACCGAATATCCCATAGAGTTGTTGAGAAGTTTCCTTGAAGTCATAACTAATAGAGGATGGTTGATTGCAAAACAATTTTATTGTAGTGGTCGGTCATACAGAGAAAACATAGTAATGATAAAAAATGATGGGTGGAGTTCTATCTGACATTTTTCTCGTCATACTCTGGCTAGAATAAATTTCAAACATAGTCCCCATAGGTTGGCAGTTTCCTTATTGATTCGTGAATCAACATTTTTTCTATTGAAATACTCAAGATTATGTTTTCTTTTTTTGTAAAAATTTTTAAAACAAAAATCCTTGAGATTATAAAAGATTAAAACTGAAAAATAAAACAATTTTTATGTTTGTTTTTTCTTAGCAATTTGTTAATGTTAAGTTTATTGCATATCAAAGATGAATATTAATTGTTAATATAACATTGATGCTTATAATGTAAATGTAGTTTTAAATGTTTTACATTTGTATGATTACAATAACAATCATATATGGACTTAATCTAAACGAAAATCATTATTCCACACTTCAATTCAATTACTTCAATTTCTCTTGTATTTTACGGGTATATGCCTCCATTTCCTCGCACTGTGGCAAGCCCTTAATATTCTTCAACATACTATCCAAAACCGGAGTTATCTCATTGCTGGCCTCTGTCTTCGCATCAAATTTGCTACTATCCGTCAATGTTGCCATTGCATTAAGTAACGCTTCGATTTTTATATCAAAATCACCAACACATTCTAAATTTTCACAAAGTTTCGAAAATGTTTTCGCACTTACAAATTCATCGCAAATTTTGGGAAATTGTGAGGAAATGGATGATATTAAAAAACATGACTTGACAAATACCCGTGAATTTAAACTGCCTAGGCAGTGTTGGACTCCAGCAATGCCTCCGTGTTTGGTAAATTCCACTGTGGCCGGCTCATAATTTTGCATTAACGATGACAGGGCATACAGGGCGCTGGCAACAACTTCTTGATCTTTATCTTGCAGATATGATATCAAATGTTCGACAATGTTGTTTTCAACAAAATGCTGTTGGCAATACACGTTGTTTTGTGACATCTCCGCCAATACCTTAATTGCATTTGTACGCAATGGCACCACATCGCTTTTAATGCATTTAATGAGAATATCGGTGCCACCAAGTTTAACAAAACTATTTGCAAAATCCATATTATCAATATAATCACGGACAATATCTAGGGCCTCAACTTTATCTTCATCACTGGTAGCTGGATCCTCCAGTAGTTGTATTGCTTTGGCCAATTCATCCATAACATCGACAGTCATCGATTTGAGGACTTTTTCGAGAAATTCTTTTTTCTCTGGATCCATTTCTTCATATTTCGATGGACCACAATCTTCGTTGGTCTGATAACGAATGGCTAATTTAAGCAGATCCTGTAGATTTTTAGGTTGTCTCGCCATTTTGTTGCTGTGCCAACTGTAAATGTAGGACAAAAATATAGTAGTGACTTCCAATTGTTAATATAGGAATTTTGATATCTTATTTTAGAATAGATGTGTTTAATATTCTTCAAAAAATATTATTGTCCTTTGTGTTATAGAGTTTTCAATATTTATATATTAGCACATGTTGTTCTTCTTTTTCATGGAATATTCTTTATACTTTCACACAAACTAAACTTAGACTTTTTTTTACAAAATCACGGGCCGTAATATTTTACTGAGGTCCGTAATGAACGGACGGACGCACACCGATCAGTAAACGGATAACTTTTACAATATGACCATACATTTGGAGATATGCACCTAATGGGTGCATTGGACTTTGTTTTACCACTAACAAACATATATAGTCCATAGCATATTACTGGCTTTTGTGAAGCTTATACATGAAATAGAAAAAAATTATAGTCCGAAGAGTTCCCAACGCTAATTCGAAACTTCGCACATGTTGGTATACTTCTGTCGATGTTTCTATAAGCAGCTGCATATTCCCAAATAAAAATTATTTTCGGATCGACCACACTTTGTACCCGATTTTGAATTTTCCATATGGCTTGTAAGCACGATAACTCCCAAAGGGAGCAACTGATTTTGTCCAAACCTTTTAAATCGTAATATATTTTTTTAAAGTTGAAACTATTGGACCAATCCTTGTGTTACCCAACCCACAAAATTAATTAATAAAAACATGTCGAATCATGGGGTGTGCCGTTATATACGGACTATCGTAAGAATTTGACTAATATTTATAATTTTTGTGTCATGGGGTGTGCCGTTATATACGGACTATCGTAAGAATTTGACTAATATTTATAATTTTTGAAAGGAGGATTAAAAAACGTACAAAAAAATCCCCAAAATATCGAATATTTGGAGGTACTGTTATATGGAAACTATATCCGAATCTGAACCGATTTTCACGGATGTTAGCACACATGATTCTAGACATAATTCAGAACGCTATGCTAAATTTCGTGAAAATGGAAAGAAATTCGCGGGTTTGGTGCACCATTTACCTAAAATCGGACGAAAATATACATGGGAGCTATATCTAAATATGAACCGATTTTCACGAAACTTAGCACACATCATTCCCGACTCAATTCAGTACGCTATGCCAAATTTCGTTAAAATCCAAAGAAATGTTTGGGGTTTGGTACACAATTTACATAAAATCGGACGAAAATATTAGGTTGGGGGAAAACAAATCCATTATTTTTATATGAACTATAGGACTCTATTTCACATACTTCGGAATGATTTGTAGTTATTTTTAAAGTATCTTCATAATGTCTCTTTCATAGAAGTCCTGCTCACTATTTGCAAAAAAAAAACCTCTAATAGTCGATTTTCACAATCCTCCCTAGGTACCAATTTTTTTTTTAGCATTAAATTTTGCAATGCAAGAAAAATATGATAATCGTTTGATGCTAAGTACGGCGGATGCATTAAAACTTCCCAACCAAGCTTCCGAAGTTTCTGGCGAGTCACTGTAGATATGTGTGGACCAGCATTGTCCTGGTGGAACACGACAACTCTCCTGTTGGTCAATTCTGGACGTTTCTGGTCAATTACTATCTTCAAACGGTCCAGTTGTTGACAGTAGAGATCAAAATGTAGCGTTTGGCCATATGGAAGCAACTCATAATAATCCCCTCCCAGTCCCACCAAACGCATAACAAATCCTTCCTGGGGCCGTTAGTCCTGGTTTGGCCACCATTTGAGGTGCTTCACCGCTCTTTGACCACGATCGTTGTCGCACAGGGTAGTCGTATGTGACCAATTTTCTCATCTCCACTCAATATCTGTTTAAGAAATGCGTCCATCTCATTCCGTTTGGCCAAGGCCTTTGCAGATGGAAATTCGATACATGCTATTTTTTCTGTTAATTGGTGTGGTACCCAAACATCGAGCTCCTTTTTGAATTCAGCTTTGTGTGAATTGTTTCAAACAGTTTTATGGTCGATTTTTAGCTCCTGGGCGATGTTATATCTAAATTTGAACCTATTTTCACCTTGGACCAAATAAATGAGCTATACCACAATTTCAACCAAATCGGATTTTAAATGCGACTTGTCCTTTGTTCTTTTCAAAAATGTTGATATCAGCTAGCCTTAGTGGATGACTTATTACAAAGACCTTGATCTTTATGATATGGTTTGCTATATGACAGAAACAAAGTATAGCAGCAATAATGTTTGTAAAACAATTCCCAATTTGAATGAATATTCAAATTTGCCTTTGTTTTGAATTAAAGCTGTTAATGCAAATTAAGGCAGTTGTCTGTCTAGGCTATACAAGTTTTATCTACGATCATATGCCAACGTGTTTTTAGTAAAACATTACTTCAAAATATTACAAACGAATCGAGGGTTAATCAAAACACGTTTCCCTTTCAGGTGTGTGCTAATTAAGTGACCGCGACACTGTAAATTGATGACATTTTAACTCAATGGTGAGCAAAAATTTCTCTTAAAAAATGTTATGGAAAATAAAAACATGAACATTCTTCGAAATTTATTAAATTTAATATTATTATAGCATAAATAATATCCCAGGAAGTTCAAAAAATAAATTCATTAACAAATTTCGGAAAAATTCATTAATGTTTAATTTTTGTTTTAACACCAAAAAATGTAAAGAGAACCCATCAACGCTGGTGTGCAAGTCTGCCCAACTATGGTTTAACTCATTGCCTGTTTTTCACAATTAATCGAATTGAAAATGGATTTTTTGTACATCAATGGTCATGAGAAAATATGCAGAGTCCAGGGTTTTGGAAACAAACTCAATAGACCCCAAACATCTTCCATTATAGTAAGTCAGCAAAGGTTTCCCCACATTTCACACACAGTGAGGTTATACTTTTGTGTTTTTGTTTCATTTGTAAACCACACACAACAATACAATATGTGTTCTGGCGGCTGTCATTCCAGAATTATCTAGACTTGCAATAACTAAATAAACAAATTAAAAATTATCTATTTTACAAATCATATAATTACGTGATAAAATAACATTTTAATGATATCATATTGCACTTCTCGTTTGTGTGTCACCATCACCATAATAAAAAATTGCAAATGCCGCACAATGCATTGGCATAGGCTTTCTTTTTGTCCACAACAACCTTTCCATGGGGGAACTTGTAGAGATTCTTATACAAATAACATTGATGTTTGTCTTACGGACTAAACTATGGATTATTGTTGAATAATAAATTAGTTTATTCACCTTTAAATGCTGTATTTGTTTAACAAAAATCACTTTTTTCCTAATTAGTTGAATGGAAAACACAAAAGAACTACTCCGTGTCAAAACTGTCTGTCAAACTACTAGAGTTGAGTTGGGTAGTTCCGGAACGAACTAGTTCATTGGAACTATTCCGAGAAAGGAACGAACGGAACTAGTTCCAGTTCTTTAATTAATATAATTCCTTTCTCTGATCCAGTTCCTTTTTTGAACTATTTGAAGCAAAGGAACTGTATGGAGCGAAGGAACTATAAAGAGCAAAGGAAATATATATGGAAAAACGAAAAAAAAATAATAATAAAAGAGAGAGAGAGATTCAAAAGAATAGTGGGAAGCCTCCAAGACTCCAGCCTTCATAAAATTCGCTTGTTAATCGTCGTTCTGCCAAGACTCAAGCGACGTCGTACGCAAACCTTCGCCAACAAATGGTCTGTTCCAGTACTTTTTATACCCTCCACCATAGTATGGAGGGTATATTAATTTTGTCATTCCGTTTGTAACTCATCGAAATATTCATTTCCGACCCTATAAAGTATATATATTCTTGATCAGGGTAAAATTCTAAGACGATCTAGCCATGTCCGTCCGTCTGTTGTAATCACGCTATCTTCTGAAGGAATTGAGATAGGGTGCTGAAATTTTGCATAGGGTTGTCTTTTGTCTGCAGGCAGGTCAAGTTCGAAGATGGGATATATCGGTCCACGTTTAGGCATAGCTCCCATATAAGGGTACCCCCCAATTTTCGGTATTTTGGGGTTCTTGAGCGCGATTTTCAACCGAATTCGCTGAAATTTGGTACAGTGGGTTCATATTGGGTACCAAATATCTCCATTTAAAATTATAAATATCGGTCCACTTTTTCATTTCAAATACCTGTCAGTATACCTGTGGTGGAGGGTATCCAAAGTTCGGCCCGGCCGAACTTAACGCTTTTTCACTTGTTTAATAGTAAAGCTAGTAAAAGGGAAACATTTCAAGTCTCAGAGTACAAAATAATTTGAAAAGTTCGGGAACCCAAATCTAGTAAATATGCCAAAATTAGATAGCAATACTTCAAAATCAACATAACAAAAAGTTTACAAAGAGAAAGCCATTTGGTTTTGTGCTCTCTTAAATTTGATTCAATGCTTTACCAGTTTTATGGGTTCAGGAACGGTTTTCGAGTAAAAAGTTGCAAAACTTGTAAAATTAGTAAAATAAAAACGACGACTGAAAAAAATGAAAAACGTTCCACCAGCTAACGAATGGGAGGAGAAGACAAAACGGCCGATAAAGATGAATTCAAAATGGTATAACCGAAAGTTTACGAATGAGGTGGGATAGAGACTAAATGGAAACCGTGTTGTTTACGAATGAGGTTTAGGCAAACTATGATTAGGGATAAGTAAATCGACTTTCGATTAATCGACTTTTTGTATTGAAAAGCGTTGTTCTAAGGAACTACATTAAGGAACTAGTTTAGAGAATATTGTAGTTTTATGTTTGTTATGTTTGGCTGGCTAATCAGCGAATTAGGCGAATTAGGAATAGATTCGGGAATCAAAAGGGATATTTTTCATGTTGCGGTTTCGTAAACAAATTAGGCTAAAATGGGAAAAGGCAACATCATGGTACAATAAAGGTAACAGCAAATCCCAGCTGATTTGATTCCAACGTAATACTAGTGTCAATATGAATTTGAAAAATTATGTTTTTAAAAATCACCCAACAGGAAAATTGGGAACGCATACAATTTGAAATTGTTCTTTATTAATGTGCTCCCGTATTCAATTTAATCAATCTGCCTGCTGGGAAAGTTTGAGGAACCAAATCTTTCTTGAAGGAATTACTCGCTATTCCCAGCATTGTCATATGTCATATGTGTTACACATATATATGGCAATGGCTCAATTAAAGGAAAGATGTGGAAGCGATAGAAATATAAATTTGATAGATTTTATAGATTTTCATTGGTTGTTGTATCGTTTTTTGTACAACAATACTTGCTGTTACCTTTTATTATTATACCATGAGGCAACATGTACAAAATGCAGTTTGAAAGTAACGGCAGCGCAGAGTTTGGTGGAATTGGCTTATATGAATTTATTTGAAACCAATGAAGAGAATACATTTTTCATGGTATAAATTGGTAAATTTATATTATTCTCAATATGTAATTTGTGTAATAAAAAAGGTAAGTAACCTGTAATGAAATGAAAGAACTACAATCTATGGTTTCTCTATCTTTTCATTTAAGGATACTACTACTCAGAAATATCTACCAAATGGGAACAAATATGGAAAGTAAGTACAAAATTTAGGAAATAAGCACAGCCCGTAATAAGGGGTTTTGGAGTTCTCCCATTTTTATTAAATATTTTTAAGAATACAACTTCGAAGATAATATTTCTGATACTCATTACAATAACATTATTTTTTTTAAAAGGACTTCATACTTCCGGAGGTATGGGGTACCAGAATTTCGAAAAAACATAATTTTTGTAACCTTAGCAGAATATTTTTTTTTAATTTACATTTGTCTTCAAACTAGTCGGTCTTTAGCCGGGACTTTAAGACTTTCTCCTTTGGTCAGATTGAAAATTAAGCTACGTGAACAGAATTTTCTTTTAATTTCATATTTTAAACAGTAAAAACCAAATGGGTTTTATTTCCCATACTGCCGGAAGTATGAAGTTATGCCAAAAATAAAATAGGAAACTATATATTATACTAGTCTATAAACTTAATGTAAAGCTGATGAGAAATCAAATATTTTGAGGATTGTAAATTTGAGATTCAACACAGGTCACTGCAAAACAAAATCTACAATCCCAAACTGTATGATTTGATCATGGTTTCGTTTCCCTATAATTTTGATAAAATAACTATACGATTTTATAAAAAACGCACACTAATTTAATTATTTACTTACAATTTATTTTTAATATATCCTAATTTATGCCATAAAATATTACGAAGATTTTGATTATAAAAAAAAACTATTTTATCTTAGGTGTCGATCTTTTCTAACCTCTCAATTTTTCTCATTTATTTCACAGATTGTAATCTTTGATTGCTTGACACGTTCTCGCAACTCTTCCAAATATTCCACAGTAGTATCGAAATCTTTCATTAATATTGGTTTATCTAAAAGACCCGATTGAAAACTAATATCGCGAGACTCCTTTCTTAATTTCGAACGTTCGATTTTCATTTGAAATACCACTTCACGCAATCGTTGCTTTTCGTTTTGTAATTCTTCAAGATATTGCCGCTGAAAATGTATGGTTTCGTGAAGCATTTTTTGTTTCTCTTTTAGGTGAGCTTGACGGTGAATGTCACCGTGACAACGATATCGCAATTTATTCAGTTCGGTGTTGCGTTCTAGGGAAAAGGAGATAATGTGAAGATGGATAAATAATTAAGATATAAAGGGAGCTGATTTCTGGTACTCTACCAAAATTATTTTGCTGTCAAAATCAGCCGTAAAATTGTTTACCTTCTATTTTCTTTCCCAAAGCTTGTGTTTCGGTTTGAATGGTCTCAAAGTTGCGCATTGTTAGGCCATTACCTAAGTCTTCTAGATCGCGTAATTGCTGGAAAGGAAAACACAGAAAAATAAGTGTGGACTTTTAATGAATATTTCTCCCAGAGTCTATCAAAGGCGGGGATTTTTAAAAATATTTTTTCAAGCACCTAACCAAAGCGTGGTTTATTGTTCTTTGAAAAATATTTTTATTTTAATTTTCCCCATATTTACCTCCACCAGTGTTGCCATATCATGCTGTTTTTGTATCAATTGAAATCGAACTTTGGAAATCTCTTTTCTAACCGATTGCATTTTACCCAATAAATTCTCCACAACACCATGGAGTTTATCAAAACCCTCCCTCCGCAATGCCTTGCGAACAATATCCTCCAAATTGCTAATTTCATCTCCGGAACGCTTTCGTGTAATTGTCAATTCCTCATTAAGTACTGCCAAATTAGTTTCCGTTAATGCTTTCGCTTCTTGTTCCCTTATCAGCCACTTATCCAAATTATTTACCGCCGCCTGATATTTTCGTATTTCTTGTGGTAACATTTTTAGATTATCTTCCAAGATGGGTCGCATAGAACGTTTACGACGAAAATATTCAACACATTTGCGATTTAGGAATTGCTTTCCCCGCTTCTCAATTTCCAAAAGAGCTATTTTCTCTTGCAACTCCTTCATTAGTTTCCGCTTATCGAGATTTTGTCGTAATATTATTCGCGGATCAACATATTCGGCTTTGTCAACAGCACGTGATATTAAATCGCAGACAAATTCATAGGTTTGTTCGTTTAGAAGACGTTCAGCTTCAGCCCGGGCCAAGGCTTCCATATCGATTTCTTCAGTGGTCACAACAGGGGCTTGGGCCTCAAGTTCCAAAAATTGATTAAAGGTATCCTCTTCATCTGCCAACTTTTTGCCTTCATCCTCTGCCTCCTCATCGGATAAGATGGGTATATCAACGGATTGCAGATCTATGGATTCTTCTACGTCCTTCTCACTTTTTTGTTCCTCACCAGGAATTTCGGGTTTTTGCTTTACCACTTCTTTGGGTTCTTCAATTTTCTCTTTTAGCGATTCTTTAGAAGAGGAACTAATTTCACCCGTCAAAGGATTAACAAATGCTCCCATATCCATACGTCCTGAATGAGGTTGGGTTAATTTTTTCTCTTTCGCCACATCCACCACTGAATCTAATGATACATTTTCCACATCGGGTATATTTTGAAAATTTTCAAAAAAATCGGGTGAAATTTCCAATTCTTGTTGTTTTAAATATTCGAGCTCCTCATCTTTGGACGATTGACTATCCTCCTCATCGGATATGCCGGGTAGTTCTAAAAACTTTTCAGCTTGTGTAATAAAGGATTCAATGGAGCTTTCTGAGCTTGGTCCATTGTATTCAGATTCATGGGACTCAGAGCTACCTTCACCTTCCATAACTACCTCGGCAATGGCTTTTTCTAAGGGATTGATTTCGGTTAGACGTAACTTTTTCGGAGGAGGAGGAGGGGGTTGTTTAGTGGGTAATTCTTCTTTAAGAGAGGATATGGACTCTTCACTGGATCTTTTTCTGTTTTCGTGATCCATGGGTATTTCTTTAAGTGGTACATTGGTAGTTGGTAACGGTTTAATAGGGGCTGTTGGAATAGAGGTTTCTATTTTGACCTTTTCCGTCGTAGTTTTTGCTTTATTTCCTTTCTCCTTGCCCTTTTCTTTGGTCGGAGATTTCTTTTCAATTTTCTTTGGTGTTTCATTGCCGGTCTTCGCTTTTCTTTTTGGAGGCATGGTAGGATTCCGGATAGAGGTGAAAAACCTAAAAAATATTTATTGAGGCCTGCAACCCAACTGACGTCAATTGGAAAATAATTTCTGGATATTTCTGATTTGAAAAACGATGTGAACTTATTTCAAATACTCAGGATTTTTGGATTTTTTAAAGAATACTTTTGCAAAACTTTTATAGGGCGAGGATTTTTTAAAGGATACTTTTCCAAAGCTTGTGTAAGGCGTGGATTTTTTAAAGAATACTTTTTCAATGCTCTTATAAGGCGTGGATTTTTTAAAGAATACTTTTTCAAAGCTCTTATTTTTTAAAGAATACTTTTTCAATGCTCTTATAAGACGTGGATTTTTTAAAGAATACTTTTTCAAAGCTCTTATTTTTTAAAGAATACTTTTTAAATTTTTTTAAAGAATACCTTTTCAAAGCTCTTATAAGGCGTGGATTTTTTAAACAGTACTTTTTCAAAGCTCTTATAAGGCGTGGATTTTTTAAAGAATACTTTTTCAAAGCTCTTATAAGGCGTGGATTTTTTAAAGAATACTTTTTCAAAGCTCTTATAAGGCGTGGATTTTTTTAAAGAATACTTTTTCAAAGCTGTTATAAGTCGTAGATTTTTTTAAGGAATACTTTTTCAAAGCTCTTAAAAGTCGTGGATTTTTTTTAAAGAATACTTTTTCAAAGCTCTTAAAGAATACTTCTTCGAAGCTCTTATAAGGCGTGGATTGTTCTAAAGAATACTTTTTCAAAGCTCTTATAAGGCGTGGATTTTTTAAAGAATACTTTTTCAAAGCTCTTATAAGGCGTGGATTTTTTTAAAGAATACTTTTTCAAAGCTGTTATAAGTCGTACATTTTTTTAAGGAATACTTTTTCAAAGCTCTTAAAAGTCGTGGATTTTTTTTAAAGAATACTTTTTCAAAGCTCTTAAAGAATACTTCTTCGAAGCTCTTATAAGGCGTGGATTGTTCTAAAGAATACTTTTTCAAAGCTCTTATAAGGCGTGGATTTTTTAAAGAATACTTTTTCAATGCTCTTATAAGACGTGGATTTTTTAAAGAATACTTTTTCAAAGCTCTTATTTTTTAAAGAATACTTTTTAAATTTTTTTAAAGAATACCTTTTCAAAGCTCTTATAAGGCGTGGATTTTTGTTAAGAAAAAATTTTCAAACCTTTATAAGGCGTGGATTTTTTTAAAGAATTTTTTTTCAAAGCTCTTATAAGGCGTGGATTTTGTTAAAGAAAATTTTTTCAAAGATCTTATAAGGCGTGGATTTTTTTAAAGAATACTTTTTCAAAGCTGTTATAAGTCGTAGATTTTTTTAAGGAATACTTTTTCAAAGCTCTTAAAAGTCGTGGATTTTTTTTAAAGAATACTTTTTCAAAGCTCTTAAAGAATACTTCTTCGAAGCTCTTATAAGGCGTGGATTTTCTAAAGAATACTTTTTCAAAGCTCTTATAAGGCGTGGATTTTTTAAAGAATACTTTTTCAAAGCTCTTATAAGGCGTGGATTTTTTTAAAGAATACTTTTTCAAAGCTGTTATAAGTCGTAGATTTTTTTAAGGAATACTTTTTCAAAGCTCTTAAAAGTCGTGGATTTTTTTTAAAGAATACTTTTTCAAAGCTCTTAAAGAATACTTCTTCGAAGCTCTTATAAGGCGTGGATTGTTCTAAAGAATACTTTTTCAAAGCTCTTATAAGGCGTGGATTTTTTAAAGAATACTTTTTCAAAGCTCTTATAAGGCGTGGATTTTTTTAAAGAATACTTTTTCAAAGCTCTTATAAGGCGTGGATTTTTTAAAGAATACTTTTTTAAAGCTCTCATAAGGCGTGGATTTTTTTAAAGAATACTTTTTCAAAGCTCTTATAAGACGTGGATTTTTTTTAAAGAATACTTTTTCAAAGCTCTTATAAAGCGTGGAATTTTTTTTAAAGAATACTTTTTCAAAGCTCGTATAAGGCGTGGATTTTTTTTAAAGGATACTTTTTCAAAGCTCTTATAAGGCGTGGAATTTTTTTTAAAGAATACTTTTTCAAAGCTCTTATAAGGCGTGGATTTTTTTTAAAGAATACTTTTTCAAAGCTCTTATAAGGCGTGGATTTTTCTTAAAGAATACTTTTTCAAAGCTATTATAAGGCGTGGATTTTTTTAAAGAATAATTTTTCAAAGCTCTTATAAGGCGTGGATTTTTTTAAAGAATAATTTTTCAAAGCTCTTATAAGGCGTGGATTTTTTTAAAGAATAATTTTTCAAAGCTCTTATAAGGCGTGGATTTTTTTAAAGAATACTTTTTATATTCATCAATGCCACACTGTGGCTTTATTTATATAATGTTAAAAAAAAACTTTTAAAAATATAATAAAAATTATTTCAAAATAAAAGCTATGTCCCTCTCAAAAGTTCTTGCTTTGTCGGCATTTATTTTCAATTCTTTTGATTTTATCTTCCAATTCCGTAATATCCTTTTTAAGTCTCGACACAGTACCACGATGTCCTGCAATCATCTCATTTGTTTTATCATAATCCAACATTAATGCCGGCTTATCCAGGAGGCCACTTTCAAAACTTAACTCTTTGTGTTGTTTCCTTATTGAATTACGATTCATACGTAATTCATAAATCTGTTGACGTAATTGGCGTTTTTCTTCCATTAGCTCTTCAAGGGCCAAACGTTGAGCAATTATGGAATTTTGTAACATTTTCTGCTGCTCCTTATAATGGGCCATGGCATGAATATCCCGTTGAACACGTTCATAGAGTTTTCGTAATTCGGCATTGCGTTCTGTAAATATACGAATTAAGGACATAAATAATAAAAAAAAAATAATTTATCGATCTCACCTTCAATTTTCCGATCTAAGATTTGGGTTTCATTGTGTATACCCTCAAAACTTTTCATTGTCAAGCCATTGCCAAGGTCTTCGATATTCGATAATTTCTAGGGAAATAAATTCTTGAATACATTCCAGGGAAATTTCAATTCTCACCTTTCTTAAACTAGCTTCAGTATGCAGCTTCAGGATCATTTCAAAACGTACTTCATTTACCTCCTGGCGACATTTGGACATTTCTAATAGGAGTTTTTCTATAAGCTGAAGGAGGCAAGTGTAAATTTTTAAAATATATATTACATGGCTCTCTCAAAGTCGAGAATTTTTTTCAAGGCTCCTATAAGGTGTGGATTTTTTTAATATTTTTAAGGGTCCATCGATGGTCTCTCAATGGAGTGGATTTTTAAAAGTATTTTTCCAGAGTAAACCAAAGGCCATGAATTTTTTGCTCAAGGTTCCTCAGCAGTTGAGGATTTTTAATTTTTTTTTCAACTTCACAATATTATATTTCTTACCATGTTACACTTCGGTCGTGCTTCACGTATCAAATTCCTTCTGACCACTTCTTCAAAATCCGCTATGGCCTTTTCACTTTTCTCCCTTTGCATCTGTAATTCATTTTCCAATTCCATTTGTGTTTTCGATGCCATCAGTTTTGCATTCTCTTCCTTAGCCAGCAACTCATCCAAACGTGAAATAGCATGAAGATATTTTCGCATTTCCAGCTCCACATACCGCTTACTATCCGGCATAATGGAACGTAATATTTTCTTACGTTTAAAATATTCAACAGCTTTACGATTAAAAAATTCACAAACTCGACGTTCCACGACTCGTTCATGAACTTTATTGCGGATTTCCATCACTAGCTTATGTTTGTCTAAATGTTTACGTAGCATAGCTTCGGGAGATATGTGTTCGGCAACTTCCACAGCTTGATCAATGAGATCATTCAGTAATCTTTCGACATTTTCACAAAGGTGGCGATGAGCCTCTTGCTGGAAAATTTCCTCCCAATTGAGATCACTTTCTTTGGCTACTTCACGAATTTCTACTTGAAGGAATTTCTCCAAGGCCCTCTCCTCATCGATTAGTACGTTTAGATCCTTATCATCCTCCTGGTTATAGTCCAAATTAAATATGTCCATCTTATCTAAGTCCTCTTCCTCCATCACTTCTTCAAATTCCAAAAGGGAAACCACACTTTCGTGCCTCTTCTCTTCAAATTGGGGGAGGTCTTTTTTTACCACCTGCACAGTAGGTGTAGAGACCAATCTCTGTCCAGTTATTGGATCCACAAAGTAACCAATATCACTATGTTCCTCAGAGGATATCTCGGGTTTCATAATTTCTTTATTTATCTCCGAAATGCTAACATCCTCGGATATGTTTTCCAATTCTGGAATCGAACCAAAATCCTGCAAAAATTCAACTTTTTCCTCCAATGTTGAACGTTTAAGATAATCTGGTTCCTCCTCCTCTTCTTCTTCCTCCTCCAAGGATTCACTATCACTATCAAAAAAATATTCCAAAAAATGTTTGTGTTTTTCTTCCGATTCATCCTGGCTGGGGAGAGATAGTTGGGAGGACAATGTCGAGTTGGCTTCTGAAGAGGATGGGCTGGAAGGTAATTTGGAGTTTGGTGGGGCTGCTTGAAATAATCCGGTCCCAGTTGAATCTTTTGCGAAGACAGAGGTTTTTTGTTTCGCTGATGGCATATTGTTGGTGGGTTAAGTGGTGGATTTTTTTTCTTTGCTAAGGGTGTTGAGACTTTCGTCCGATAAAAAATATATTGAAAAAATATTATTTTCAAAAAGTTTGATGTCAAAAAGTTGACAATATTTTTTATGAATTTAAAAAAAAATCTGGGTCAAAATGCAGCGTGGACTTTTTAAAATATTTTTTCAGGGTCTATCCTTAGGCGTGGATTTTTTAAAATATTTTTTCAGGGTCTATCCTTAGGCGTGGATTTTTTAAAATATTTTTTCAGGGTCTATCCTTAGGCGTGGATTTTTTAAAATATTTTTTCAGGGTCTATCCTTAGGCGTGGATTTTTTAAAATATTTTTTCAGGGTCTATCCTTAGGCGTGGATTTTTTAAAATATTTTTTCAGGGTCTATCCTTAGGCGTGGATTTTTTAAAATATTTTTTCAGGGTCTATCCTTAGGCGTGGATTTTTTAAAATATTTTTTCAGGGTCTATCCTTAGGCGTGGATTTTTTAAAATATTTTTTCAGGGTCTATCCTTAGGCGTGGATTTTTTAAAATATTTTTTCAGGGTCTATCCTTAGGCGTGGATTTTTTAAAATATTTTTTCAGGGTCTATCCTTAGGCGTGGATTTTTTAAAATATTTTTTCAGGGTCTATCCTTAGGCGTGGATTTTTTAAAATATTTTTTCAGGGTCTATCCTTAGGCGTGGATTTTTTAAAATATTTTTTCAGGGTCTATCCTTAGGCGTGGATTTTTTAAAATATTTTTTCAGGGTCTATCCTTAGGCGTGGATTTTTTAAAATATTTTTTCAGGGTCTATCCTTAGGCGTGGATTTTTTAAAATATTTTTTCAGGGTCTATCCTTAGGCGTGGATTTTTTAAAATATTTTTTCAGGGTCTATCCTTAGGCGTGGATTTTTTAAAATATTTTTTCAGGGTCTATCCTTAGGCGTGGATTTTTTAAAATATTTTTTCAGGGTCTATCCTTAGGCGTGGATTTTTTAAAATATTTTTTCAGGGTCTATCCTTAGGCGTGGATTTTTTAAAATATTTTTTCAGGGTCTATCCTTAGGCGTGGATTTTTTAAAATATTTTTTCAGGGTCTATCCTTAGGCGTGGATTTTTTAAAATATTTTTTCAGGGTCTATCCTTAGGCGTGGATTTTTTAAAATATTTTTTCAGGGTCTATCCTTAGGCGTGGATTTTTTAAAATATTTTTTCAGGGTCTATCCTTAGGCGTGGATTTTTTAAAATATTTTTTCTAAGGGCTATATATAGGAGTGGATTTTTTAAAAATATCTTTTCAGGGTCTATCCTTAGGCGTGGATTTTTTAAATATCTTTTCAGGGTCTATCCTTAGGCGTGGATTTTTTAAAAATATTTTTTCAGGGTCTATCCTTAGGCGTGGATTTTTTAAAATATTTTTTCAGGGTCTATCCTTAGGCGTGGATTTTTTAAAATATTTTTTCAGGGTCTATCCTTAGGCGTGGATTTTTTAAAATATTTTTTCAGGGTCTATCCTTAGGCGTGGATTTTTTAAAATATTTTTTCAGGGTCTATCCTTAGGCGTGGATTTTTTAAAATATTTTTTCAGGGTCTATCCTTAGGCGTGGATTTTTTAAAATATTTTTTCAGGGTCTATCCTTAGGCGTGGATTTTTTAAAATATTTTTTCAGGGTCTATCCTTAGGCGTGGATTTTTTAAAATATTTTTTCAGGGTCTATCCTTAGGCGTGGATTTTTTAAAATATTTTTTCAGGGTCTATCCTTAGGCGTGGATTTTTTAAAATATTTTTTCATTTTTTCAAGATCCTAAAACACATGTGGATTTTTTGAAGATCCTAAAACAGGAGTAGATTTTTAAAGATTTAAATTTAAAAGAATTTTAAATTTAAGTAAAAAAATATGTCCACATATTTTACAAAGTTCTAAAATCATCTCTTCTCCCTATTTCTGTTTTTCAAATTCCATTTAACTAGGCGGCCTGTCAGTCAGTTATGTGTCAAGACATCCATCAAAGTTCCATTAATATGTCCTGTCAATAAAAAACAGAACAACAACAACAAGTACTCAAACAATGGTAGGCCAGAAGAAATTGAAGCAAATATTTGGAAATAAATATAGGCAACAAATATCTACCTACTGCACATATTGAATTAATAGTTATTGATGTAGTTGTTGTTGTTGCTGCTGGTGCTATTACTTTCGATTATTGTTCACTGTAATGGGGGCAATTTCTAAACCAAACAATGCTATGACGAATGAAAACATGTTATTTTGGCAATTTAGTTAATAGTTTGCTATATTCTTTTGCAGGAATATTACAAAAATAATAACAATAAAAATTATTTCAGACCGAAAGAAAAATACAATTACGGTTGTAGTATCGATTTCTAAACAAACATACATTAATGCTATTGGTAATGTGAAGAAAACCAGGCCCACAGTAAATAGTGAATTTGCAGATGAATGATAAACATGGGGTAGCGATAGTTCTCAATATCATATTTATCGAATAGAAAATAATTAATTAGTTTTCTAAGAACCTTGAGCCTTGGAGCCTTGAAAAAATATTCTTTAAAATGTCCAAAAGTCTATATTAAAAAAAAAAACAGTAAGGAAAGTAGTAATGTCGGACGGGGCCGACTATATGATACCCTTCACCACTTTCGGTATATTCCACAGATGGAATCCTAACAGACGTCGCATTTTTGAACGATAATTAACATGAAATTAAACATGTCATTCTGCAACCTATTCTAAATTTTGGTCAGATATAGTCTATATATATATATTATATAGAGTTGCTCCTTACAATGTAAATAAATTTAAAGCAAAATATCGAAATCGAAACAGATTTCATCGAAACTTGTCAGATGTTAGGTTACACTTATTTCAGTATGTTATTTGCATTCGGCCACATTTTTAGTTTTTTTATTTACTTATAAATCCAAATTTACTTATAAATCCAAAATCGGACGAAAATATGTATGGGAGCTATATCTAAATCTGAACCGATTTTCACGAAATTTTACACACATCGTTCTAGACCTAATTCAGTACGCTATGCCAAATGTCGTGCAAATCGAAGGATATATAGGGACTTTGGTGCACTTTTTACCTAAAATCGGACGAAAATATATATTGGAGCTATATCTAAATCTGAACCGATTTTTCCGAATTTCAATAGGATTCGTCCTTGGGCCAAAATAGTGAACTGTGCCAAATTTCATCCAAATCGGATCACAAATGCGACTTGTACTTTGTTAACAAAAATACATGGACGGACGGATATGCATAAATCGACTTAGAAAGTGATTCTATGCATATTCTCAAAAGGAACCATGTGTCAATCTCGATTCCTTTTGCATGTTACAAACATATGCACAAAGACATAATACCCTGTACCACAGTGTGGTGAAGGGTATAAAAATACACGCCTAATGAAAAAAATATATTTTAAAAAAATGTTTTAAAAAAAGCCACGCCTTATGAGAGCCTTGAAAAAATGTTCTATAAACCAGTGAGAGGAGCAGTATAGTCGGATGGGGCCGACCATACGATACCCTACACAACTACCACAGAAATCTATGTCTTTTTGCGGATTCCGAATATTACCAATATTCAGTAAAGCCCTTCTAAATACTCGTCCATATTCCCTTCACCGTGGGCTGTGTTGTGATATTCGACTTATAATTGTATCGACTCGGTCCATTTGATCCGCTAAAAATTGATCGATCTTTGTCAAAACAGCAGGCTTATTCTTTGGCCCAATCCCCTTCCACATATAAAAATTCCACATGTCTAGATCGACTCAGCTAGTCGAGATATGACACCCAGTCGATAAAGGTGGGTCTAGGACCAATATTTCGCGGCGTTACAAACTCTTGGGGCTGTACAATGCTATAATACCCTGACAATACCCTGTGTGTAGGGTATAAAAAAATTCTTTAAAAAATCCACGCCTTTTGGAAGCCTTGAAACCATATTCTTTAAAAAACTCACGCCTTATGGAAGCCTTGAAACAATATTCTTTAAAAAACCCACGCCTTATGGAAGCCTTAAAAAAATATTCTTTAAAAATCCACGCTTTATGGGAGTCTTGAAAAATATTCTTTAAAAAGACCACGCCTTATGGAAGCCTTGAAAAAATAGTCTTTAAAACATCCCCGCCTTATGGAAGCCTTGAAAAAATATTTTTTACAACATCTACGCCTTGTATATGCCTTGAAAAAATATTCTTTAAAATATTCACGCTTTATGGAAACCTTGAAAAAATATTATTGGAAAACTCCACGCCTTATGGAAGCCTTGACAAATTATTCTTTAAAAAGTCCACGCCTTATGGAAGCCTTGAAAAATTATTCTTTAAAACATCTACGCCTTGGATATGCCTTGAAAAAATATTCTTTAAAACATCCACGCCTTATGGAAGCCTTGAAAAAATAATCTTTAAAACATCCACGCCTTATGGAAGCCTTGAAAAAATATTCTTTAAAAAATCTACGCCTTATACGAGCCTTGAAAAATATTCTTTAAAAAATCTACGCCTTGGATATGCCTTGAAAAAATATTCTTTAAAAAATCTACGCCTTATACGAGCCTTGAAAAATATTCTTTAAAAAATCTACGCCTTGGATATGCCTTGAAAAAATATTCTTTAAAAAATCTACGCCTTGGATATGTCTTGAAAAAATATTCTTTAAAAAATCCACGCCTTGTGTGGAAGCCTTGAAAAAATATTCTTTAACAAATCCACGCCTTTCATCATCGTTGGAAAAATATTCTTATAAAATTCCCACCTTATGTTTGCCCATGATTAAATATTCCTTTGAGTTTGTTTTTGTTTTGTCCTTGAAAAACTATTCGTATTTGAAAGTTTATTTATAACCAATTACAATTCCATTATTATCTCATTACCAATTTGAGTAATGCCGCATTCATTCATTCGTTCATTACTCATTCCTTTAATTCAAATTAAAGTCATAACGTACACATATTTGGGTTTT